GAATAAAAGGGAATGGTGAAACGTAGGTTTTAGCAAAGAACAAAATGATAGCTTATTTCATCAGAGACTGGGAAGATAAATGGCTGTCCATAACAGTTTATAATGATTTTACATAATTATCACTATGTGTTGATATGTGCATATGACTTTTAACCGTTCTCCTGATACTGTTAGAATCAAATACCCTGGGCTCACGAAGCATCTGATGTCACATTAGTGGCCATTTTAGAATAACGTTATAGTTCTAGCCTAGCTCTTTATTAAAGCCATATGAAAGGAGTCAAGTTTTGTTACATGAAAAGATAGCTTTTTTCTTTATGAATATTAGTAACAAATTAAACATTTAAATAAATGCACTTGCATTAAATTTCAGAGAATATTATACATTGAATACATTGTTATAATTATGTTGTGAATACATTGTTATAATTATTATGTTGTGACTGTTTAGTCAAAGTCTTGAAAAATATGAGCTATGGAGCTCTTCAAATAACAATACTTGATGATCTCAAGAAGTTACTAAACAAGTTATTGAAGTATTTTAAAATCAGAAAGACCTATTGTCTGTTATATGGGCATATGTATCTTACTTGTTTCTGCAAGTATACACATGATAGTTTAAACTGTTATTCAGTTTCTAAATGGTATTTACACAATGTTTCCTACATCAGAGAACACACTTCTTACTTAGGACTAGGCGGCAGTCTCTAAAGAGAGTCAGCATGAGAAATAAAAGGTCACTCTAAGGGTTCTCTGTGGATTTGCTACGCACCCTTTGCTTGGGCTGATCTGCAATCCTCTGTTCCCAGGAGAACTTGTTTTACCCTCTTTAAAATTCCCGTGTTAACATATCATCCCTCGTGACTATTAGTTAACATAATGAGTGATACCAGTTGCTCTGGGCTTCCTATAGAGGTGCAGTTTTCAGGCTTTTGCCTTATACTTCATAGTGAAGGCCTAATTTAAATGCTAGCAACCATAGACAAATATGCTTTGTTGTTGTTGTTTCATTTTATTTTGCAAAAAGTTTTGCTCCTCGGTCTTTCCCAAGTGAGTCAACATAAAGAGCGTGATGTTCCATGTAATGGAAATCATTGGCTATGAAGAGGACGCACAGGGTTCATAAAGTGGACATCCTAGTTGCTGGAAGAAGTGTGAGCTCCTTCTTTATTCCACCCACATTTGTTCTAAAACTTCCCAGCCAAGGTGCATGTGACCATATATGTGTATATACAGTATAGACACAGAGAAAGAATGAGAATACAGTGACTTGTGAAGAGCAGCAATATCAGGCAGCTTTTGGCCTTGTATTGTGTGGACCACTGCGTGAGAATATGAGAACCTATAAAATGCAGAATGTATTTTGCTTTTGCATAAGTTCCTGTAAATATATATGTGCCACACCAATACAAACATATCCACACACTAATTTGTCTTGTTACAAGGGGGAAAAACCTATACACCTAAACAAAGTACAGGTATTTCACTTTTTAGTTTAATAGGAAGAGTTACTTATTCAGTTTTCTATAACAGGTGGAGAAAAGTATGTTTTAAAAATAGTTTTTAACACTTTTTTTTACTCTTCAAGGAGGAATACTCAGGTGATGGAAACTATAAAGCGGGACCTCCTGGCCAAATTCAGAATATTTTAAAATATTACATCTTAATTCATGAATATTTACGATCAACTGCTTCAGTTTTGTTTCCATGTTAACTACAAACTGGAGAAATGCAATGTGTCTGTGTTAGCTTCTGGCTGAAGATCGCTTTAAGGTGATTGAAAGTGAACTTCTATGTTTGACTATAAAACAGGTATTTCATCAGAATTCCTCAGATGAAACAATAACTTACAAGGAATGGGACTGCAATGGGTGGGCAAACAAAATAATTATAATAAATTAAGATAAAATTATTCATGGTCAGTGACAATATGAATATGTGGGATGTAAATATAGATCATTTTGATACGGAATCTGCTATGTAAGCATACATTGCATTTAGGTGACTCCCTCCATTTGGATGAACCTCAAGGGAAGCGTCTTCTTTCTGGGAACAGAGAGCTGATCATCTGCCATACAGCCAACTTCCCCTATCAATTTGTTGTTGTTTTCAAGTGATGGTTTTTGCAACAGGTACTGGTGTACGGACATTTTTTCATGTGAAAAAAAATAAGGTGATTGAAGGGAAGAGGACAAAATACAGAAATGAATAAAGGATGAAGAGAAAGGGCAAAGGGCAAGGAAAGGAATCAGCACTTGGTTTGGGTCTGTATGTGTTTTGAGGAATGGGAAATAGCATCAGCCCACAGCATAAAAAAGGCACCAGTCCCATTTATCTGTACGGAGCTTCACTGAGTGTGAAAAAGAGATGTACGTGGACGTTCAGCAATATCTACAGATGTTTACTGAGACTTACATCCCACTATGCCAAATAGAGTCCACTTCCAAGCGTGTTTTAACTTAAAATTGACCTGTTACCTCTGCTATCAAATGTCAGTACGCTACCAGAATGAAACTTGTATGTACCTAACCCAGGTAGAGAGCAATACTGAGTTTTACTACAGTTGATGCCCCACTCCAAAATTCTGCTTGCCTGGTACGATCAGCTCCATGTTGCCTTTCTGTCTTCAACTAAGGCTGCAGTCCTCTGTGCACGTATTTCAAAGTACGTCTGATTAAAATTGGTAGCTCTTTTTTTAAAAAAATGCATGCACACAACGGGTATTGCATGGTGTTATACCCCACTGCCATTTCTGTACATAAATTGACAAGCATCATTTTTAGCACGATAATGAAGGAGCTAAGAGCTATAATGCAATGCCTAAAGTCCAGTTCACCATAAAGATTGGCATGGCCCAAGACAGAACAGAACCATGTCTGAGATGCCAGCAGCCCATAAGAGCACATTTCTAAAGAACATTCTCTCATGTTACAGAAGACTGTGCATTGTACGATAACGGTTTACTATGCAATTAAGGGCCACAATGCTAGGATGGAAATGGTCTTCTAATTGAAAAATATCCTGAAAACCCATACTTGAAGATTCATAATAAAAAACTTAACTATCTGGTTCTGGAATTGAGAGAAGTTACGAACAGTTCTTTCTATTATGGCTATTATACATCTCTAATTAACTAGACCTGTTTCTCAAACTGATGGGTAAGACAAACACTTGTATCTTCCCTTTTATTTTTTACAAATAGACTGGCTGTGGAAAGAAGCCATAATCTTTTTCCTATAAATGAATGAAATCTAGTCAGCCAAATATGGCTATTATTCTGTGCAAACTTATCAAGATTTTAAGATAAGCTGTGGCATGATTTGGGGAGCATTCATCCTGGGAAAGTTTCCACATGATTTAAGAGTAAAGCTGACCCAGTTGGATTTCTGCCTGCCTCAAATCAGTCACCTCTGGCCACTGTTTGATGGCATGCGTGAAGCTCTATCCAGGTCAGCTGATGAAGGTGCCACCTCTTGGTGCAGCAACTTTTATGGCTGTGGTCTCACCCAGAGGTATCTCATTCATTTAGCTGAAATGTAATTGGGAGTGGAACTGGGAGCAGGAAGGCAGCCTGTACGTACAAATGTTAAGTTAAGACAAAAGGGGGAAAGAGAGAGAGAGAAGAAAGACTTCATATGGAGTAAACTGAATTCTCCATGATGGCAAATGAATTAGTCTTGGAAGAACAGGAAGGACTTTAAGTCCTGACTCGAATTTATACAGTCTACTCCTTGGGTTGTGTATTTCTTTTGCAAAACTACTGGTGAGGAATGTGGGTGTGGCAGCTGCTCTCTTCCTCCTGGGCCAGGGCAACTGCATTGACAGTTTAGGCTTCCTTCTCTAACCCCTGCTTAATCTGGCTGGAGTTTACCCACTCTCCCTACAGCTGTTAAGCCTTTTCAACTAATCCTAAAAGCCTTCCTCCACCATGGGCGAATGGCCTTTCTGAAACAGAAGAACTGTGCAGCAAGATTATTTCAGGGTTGGGGTACGTGGTCTTTTGTTTCGGCCCTGTTATATAGGCCTCAAATGATCTTTAATCATTTTAATCAATGACTTGGGTGCCAACCCCTCCAGCTGCACTTCACCCTTCTGACACATAGATGGGAACTTTGGTGTAACTCAAGAGGAAGAATGAGTTGGTGGTGTGGGAAAACAACACTTTAAAGAGTCGTGAGAAGCTGAGAAGGAGAAAAACATGGCAGATTTGATTATTATTTCTCTGTTTCAAGGGCAAATGCCTTAGGACCAAGCTGAAATGTTAGTTTCCTTTCCACTTGTACAAGAAAAAAAAAGGAAGAATAAGCCTGCTCTCTGCTTGGTTTTTATCAAGCCCTTCTCTTTGCATGCTAAATGAAGGGAGGGGAGAACAAGTAAATGTAAGCCTGACATGCCAAGCGCAGTCAAAGGACATCATTAAGAAACACCCAGGACTGGAAGACATACTTGGTGGAAGTGGAGGATACCTACTAGGTCTCTGCAGAGGATTACATTTCTAGGGGACAAAAAGTAATGTTTCTCACAGTTAAGGTGCCATTTTAGAGAGGGGTCTTGTCTCTGCTGGGCAACAGGAGAAGGTATCTTGGCCTCTCCATCTCAGTGCTAAGGTCAAGCTCCCCTTTTAAGGTGCAAAGTTAAAATTCTGTTAGCACAGCTCCTCCCCTTCAGTCTTCCAAAAGGATCGGTATCCTTTGGTCCTCTCGTCCAGACCATCTACAAGAAAGTCAGCTTCCGCTCACTTCGGCCTCTGCCCCTCAAACCAAACGCACCCAGGCACCCGGCCAGGCGGCTGGGGTTATTCCTCCTCGCTTCGCAGGCCCTTCAGGCGAAGGGAGCGCGCAAGGGGATCGCCCCCGACAAGGGCAAGGGCGTGGAGCCTCTTTGAACAACTCGGGATTCGCCTCGCCCTGCGCTCCGGCCGCCGCCGCGGTGACCTTTGGCGCGAACCGGGCGGCTGGCGCTGTGCGGGCTGTGTGGCTGCGCCTGGGCGTGGGTCTCACCTGCATCTGCCACCCGGGCGAGTCCTCTCCTCCTTCCTCTCCCCCGGCAGGCTTCACCATCTCTTCGGAAGGCCTTCCGCAGCATCGACTATCAGGCCAGCCTAGAAAGAAGCACAACGGACGCTCTGTTAGTGCCGCCTGGGCAAGTTGGGCTCTTTCTCAAGGAACTTGGAAAAGGGCTGGGGGTGGGGGAAGAAGCTGTTCCAACGAAGAAGGTGGGAAGCCAGGAAGGTAACCTGCAAGCCAGGGCACACCACCTAGCGAGTAGCATCGGTGCAGGCGGGCCGTCCTCGAAGGCAACTTGCAACTAGAGACGTCTTTAGAGACACGTTGCGGGGCAAGTGGGGGGCGGAACAAGAGACTGAGTGGGCGAAGAACGACTTTAAAAAGAGAGAAAGAGTTCAGGGCCCGTCTTTAATACCCTCCCGGTCTTCCATATCATTTCCACCCCCTTCTCAACATGCTATATTTTTCACATTTCCGAAAGGCATTTGTTTGGTTTGGTTCTTCCACCTGACTCAGCTTCTCTTCAGCCAACTGGTCTCGGCTTTTGGTCATTTCTAGCGTACTTTAGGAGGGAAATTGGGTGTGGGGGGGGGGAAAGGAGAGTAGAGACAAATGTTGAGAAGATGGAGAAAGAGGGTGTCTTTGGGGAGGGCCAGATAAACCATCTCTTTCCTCGCCTGCCTTCCTTGGGAAACCAGATAACCCACCAGTGAGATACGTGCGACTGTAAAAGGTTAACCCCCCTCCCTGCGGAAAAAGGGAAGGAGAAAAGAATCAGCATCCCCTATGACGCACCCCTAGCTTTCCCGCAGCCTTTGCCTGCAAGGACGTGAGGATTTTTCATTGGGAAAAAGGAGCACCCGCAGGATGAGGCCTTGCTGTCCTTCTAGCCATGATCCCAAGCACAGCGGTCCAACCGATTTCACTGGGAGGGCGGCGGGGAGGTTGTTCTGAGCCTCCCCTTCCCGGATCAGGTCGTTCCGATCGGATGGAACACGCCCCACATGAGCAAGGTGTGGAAAGAGCCAGGGGTTGCCTCTCTCGCCCTCCACGTCGAGCAAAGGAAGCGGCTCTGTTATGCTGCGCAGAATTGAAAGCCCACCAGATACTGCTACGTATAGGTGTACCCTCCCCTGTACACCTATATGCCTACCCATAGTCGGAATGGATGCAGGGCAGGCGCTAAAGCTTGCTTTTGCTCTTTGGAAAGCGAGGCTTGCCAAGGGAGTGAAGATTCCCGCAATTTCAGCAGCTTTCTTTCCCTAGACGGAGAGCAACAGTTGACTGCCAGTGAGGGGGAAACCCGAGGAGGAATGACAGCTCACCCCACCGTAGCTTGGCTTCTGCAAGCGCTTTTCCCGGGGCCTCGCCCTCCCCTCCGTCCCCAGATTGCATAGGGCTGGGATTCTCCTGCCACCGGGGGACAGCCGAGCCAAACCGGCAGGCTCTTCCCACCCACTCTCTCGGTCTGGGGCTCCCATTCCTCCCTTCTTCTGACAACCCCCCCCCCGCCCTTCCCACATGGAACTGGGAGCTTTCCCCTTCAGAGGCAGTTCCCAGGACTGGTGAAGAGAAGGGCTGTCGACGACTAGGAAGACGGAAATCAAGGCCGGGCCCACATGAGGGAATATGTTGTTGTCGCTGTTGGTGGTTGTGGTGACGTCCGAAAAGCAACCTTGGGAACAGGCTGGCTGGTTTTGAAGTGGCCTGCCCCTGGTTCGCGTTCCCTGCCCCCCCCAGCCCGTTTCTGCCACTAGTCACAAGCCTTGGCCAAGCTTGGGAAAGGGAAGGATGGGGAAGAATCCCAAAGGGGTCTTTTGCTTTTACCCAGCTTCCCGGCTCAGCCCCTGAGCCGCTTTTTACTCTTTCCTGAGCCACCCTCGGGTCGTCAAAATCTCCTTTATCCCTGGAGAAACCAGCCGCCCTGCGCCTCGGCTGCTGAGCCACCCTCGCCCTGAATCAGGTTTCCACTGCCGCCTTCCCTCTCCTCCCTGAGCGAGAGAGAGGCTCCTTCCTGGCCAAGGGAGCCCTTGCCCGGTCCTGTCTGGGCTAGCAGGGGGATCCTAAAGGTTGTCCGTCGATGGAGAGCAGGCGGCTTGTGTGGAGGAGCTGGGCTTCCCCTCCCCTCCCTCCCAAGAAGGCTTCGGCAACCAATAGGCCCTGAGATTGCGACAAGCGGGCACTCCGTTGGCAACTTGCTATTCCCCCTCTGGTCTGTTCCACGGGGGCTGCTCTGGCCGGGCGAGGTTCTTCGAGACATTCGTATTCTCGGGAGGTGGGAGCAGCAATGCAAGGGGCCTTCTCTCCTCTGCCCACCTCCCTGCCCATGCAATCCTTCTTGCTCATTACAGCCAAGAGGAAAGGCGAAAAGCGAGACAGGCTGGCTCTAACTCCTCTCGGCGCTGTAGATGGCAGAGACGAAGCACTTTTTCCATCGTGCTAGACAGCTGGGGCTGAGGCGCCTTCGCTCGCTCCCAGTCCCCTCGCCCAAACGCAACGCCTCGCCGGGGATTTCCCCGGGATATGGCCCCCTTTTTTTATCCCGATCAAGGCCACTTCGAGTTGGAAAAGGGGAAAGCGGGAAGATCGAAGGACTGGAAGTTGCTTAAAAGGAGGTTGGAAGTGAGCGGGGGGGGGGGGGCGGCGGCGGTTGGGGGTGATGGAATAGAGGAATCGCCTGATCCTGAAGGCTCTCCGAATCCGCGGCTAATTCGTGAGCTCCCCTCCTCCCTGTTATTTATGGGGTGATTCCCCAATATCCCACCCACTCCCGCTTTGAAATCAAGCGAAATCCCCCCCCCCCAAATCTTACAAAGATAGTGAGTGGATGGCCCTTGCCTCTATATAGGAGGTGACAACTATATACATCAGCTCCAACCCCAATGGGGCGGAGGTGGGGATGAAACACATCACACCCTTCTAGAGGGGAAGGGGGTGTCCTCCAAACTTTGAGAAAGTTTTATTGCATTTTGTTCTGTGAAGATTCTCTCTCTATCTCTTTTTAAGAAATAAAAAAATTAAGCTGTATGAAATCGTCCAAGGAAAAGAGAGGAAGCCAGAGTCGATTAAGAAAGTTAGGGATTGTGAGAACAGGGGAACAGGAGAAAGGCGTTTAATTCTTTCGACAGACAAGCCACACACACACACACACACGGGATGCAGGGGTCGTGGGGTTACGGAAGGGGGGAAAGGGAAAGGTAAAAGAAAAAACCTAGAAAATCTAGATAAGTCCACGGCTCGGCGGTCGCGTAGCTGCTCCTTCGGCGAAAGCGCCCTCCGCGAATGCTTTTTGGGGTAAGGGCTTCCCGGCTAGGTAGTTATATACAGCAAGCCCAGACCGCAAAAAGATTCGCGAAGGACAAAGTCTCCCGTGGCTTCCTATATCCCAACCCCCCCCCCCACACCAAAAAAAAAAAAAAAAAAAAAAAAAGGAAGGAAGGAAAAAAAAGGTGGGGGGAGATCTCTCTCTCTCTCTCTCTCTCTCTCACTCACTCACTCTCTCTCTCCAAGGCACCCCAAGGACGGCCGGTGCTGCTTTCCCAGGCACGACAGAGCTCACCATCCGCCCCACCACCGTCCATTCATTCACACACGCTCCATGCCCATCGCGTCCCTCTGCAAGCCCATGCCGAGATCTCCAAGTCGGAAGAGTCAAAAGGTAGGGTGGGGTGGGGTGGGGTAGATTCCCCTTGGCCCAGTTCTTCACATCCAGACACCCTCCTCTTTCCCCTCCCCGTGAAGGGGCCGGGATTAGTGGCTCCCCGGATCGGGGGGCTCTGGGAGCCAGGCTCAGTTCGGAAGGCTCTTCCCCCACACCCCTCCATCGCTCTGCAGCCGAGCAGAGGGTCTAGCACTGTGCACAGACGCTGCGTAAAGAGAAAACTCACCCCCTGAGCACTAAATAAATAGAGAGGAGGCCGGCCGCTCATTGGTGCGGGCTAAAATCGTCACTCGCCAATCAGGAGGCGTCTCACATTTTTTTTCTCTCTCGCTCCTTCTCCCTCTTTTTTTTTCCTCCCCGAAAGGGGAGGGGGGAAGAGCCGAGCGAGCGAGCGAGCGAGCTTTCTATTTCCATTTCTAATTATTCAACAAACCTTAGCCAAGACCACGTTCCCTAGTGCTGCTATGCCTGCCAGGTTGCTCCTTGCCCCCAGCACCGGGGCAGGTAGGGGATCAAGGGGAACCTGACTTCCCAAAAGCCACCTTAGATGCTCTTGGAGGCTCATCCCTTGGAGACTAACCTCCACCCCGAAGCCGCTAGGTTTCAAAACAAAACAAACACAACGCGAGCACACCCAAAGGAGCAGCTCTGGTGCTGGGAGGTGGGTGGGTGGTCAAGCTCCAGAGAGGAGCACCAGCCAACAAGAAAATATACATATATAATAGTGGTGGTGGTGGTGGGGTTCTCATGCATTGAGCCTTGCCTGATGCCCTGTTATGGAATAATCCTGCCATCCCAGGAAAGCCCACTGATGAAGGTGAGCCAATGGCCGCAGATGGTCCCTAGGCGGGATGACTCCGAAGGAAACCCAGCAGAGTTGGGATGAGGGCTTGCTGGAGGAAAGCGGGTGGCGCTACCTTTCCTTTCGCCCCGCAGTGACTTCTGAACCTTTGCTCAGCCCGACAAAGGAACAAGGGATGGAGGTCTGCTGGGAACTGGGCTGGAAGCCTCAAGAAAGCGCCTGCTGGTTTGCAGCCTAGCTCCAGACCAAAGGAGGGGGGGGGGAACGAGGAGGGGGAGAAGGGGGAAAAGAAAAGAAAACTCGGCACTTCCCCCTATGCAGGTCCTCCACAAAGTTCACGAGAAGGAAGAAGAAACATCCTCGACCGAAAGAGTCCACATGCAAGTACTTGGAAGTTCCCTCCTGCCTCCCACCTGCGACGACGTTCGCGCCTTAAGAGCACCGAGTCTCTAGCAGGAGATTCCCGGCTCTCTCGTTTTCTCTCTCTCTCTCTCTCTCTCTCTCACACACACACACACACACACACACACGCCCCGAAGGTCCTACCTTCTCCGGTGCCTCTTCCCCACCAAATCCACCTCGGCCAGCAACAGCCTCTCCAGCAGCGGCGGCGGCGGCGGCGGCGGCAGCCCGGTCGAGATGCAAGCTCCAACTGAGCCCTACCTGCTTTCTCGTCCCCTTCAAGTACCGCTCTTGCTGCCGCCGCCGCCGCCGCCGCCGCCGCTGCTGTTGCTGCTACTGCTGCTGCCGCCGCCGCCGCCGCTGCGGAGTCGTTGGCAACTTGCTTTGCTTTAGAGACCTGCTCGAGTGGCGCCTCTCAGAGATGGGGAGCGACGATCGGAGGAGGGAGGACAGCAAAAGTTTGGATTGTGATTTTTGGCCCCATTGGAATGCATTGAAGGGGTTTAAATTCATTTCAATGGTTTTTTTTTGTTTTTTGTTTGTTTTGGGGTTTGGGTTTTGTTTTTTTGTTTTTTGTTTGCCAGGCTCTCAAGCTGCCACTCTCGTGAGTCGAATAAGATCCTTGCCCGGAGGTAAAGGCATCACTTCCCCCAGTGTACGTCTCTTGTGTGTGTGCGTGTGTGTGCGTGTGCGCGCGTGCGTGTGCGCGCGCGTGGTTTGTGTGTATGTGTGTGTGTGTGTGTGTGTGGTTCCCCACCTTAACTCGTGGCAAAGCATCCCTTCCTCCAGGTATGTATAAACTACTGTAGTGTGTGGGAGGGTCACGATCTCGCTAAGTGCAGAAGATTTCCCCAAGATTAACCCCTTCCTTGCGGTATCCTTCCTTCTGCAACTTGTTGCAGAAGGTTGCGTGTGTGCGTGCGCGCATATCTATATATATCTGCACACACACACACACCGCACTCACGCACGCGCGTGCGCATACACACACACACACACACACACACACACACACGGAGGAACCACACACGCGGACGGGGAAGCCAAGTCAAAGCAAGCCAGCCAGCTTGAAGGAGTCCAGCTGCCCCCCTGACGCCCGTTTTGATTGGATGGTCTTTTCATGTCGAGGGGACGTCTCAAGCCGAAGTCACGATTCCTCCTCAGTTTGGAACCATCTGTGACTGGAGCCATGACGCAGCCAGCACACATTACTCACTTTTACAGTCACGACTTGGAAATCCGTGCAGTTTTGCAACCAAAATTACACCGCCACCACTGAATTATTTAATAGGATCCAGTTAAGGGTAACCTTATGCATTGTGCTAGCAAAGATGTGCAGAATGATCTTGCAAAAGTGAGGACAGGGTGTGGGGAGACTGGAGGAAAGGAAAGGGGAGGATGGCAGATCGAACTTAACGGAGGGCTTTTTGTTCGTCTGAAATGAGCTTCGGTTGAGCAGATTATTTGTATAGGTCTCTTCGCGGGCTCCCATGTGGAATGTCAAGTGACTGGAAGCGACCTGCTTGATCTCAGACCCAAACGACCTGTTTGTCAATACAAGCAGGGAAGTCTCGGGAAAGAACCTTTTTTCCATACACTCTAAGGACTTCAGTGGGTGGTCGGGTGCTCAGTAATTGAGCCTTTGGCTTGCGTTTGTCTCCGTGGCAAGACATGTCCAAGCTATTACATGCAATCTGAACCGAGGCTGCTGAGACCAAACCTATTCGTCTGTATCTATCCTTCTAATGCTCTCCTGGTGATCATGTCTGCATCTCTCTCTCATTGTCGCTGCAGGAACCCTAGGTGATGCTGGGCTTTGTGCATTGGTAGGTGAGCTGTTTGTCTAAGCTTGAAATATACTGTGTTGCACTCTCTTAGGTTTGCTACTTACTTTCCGTGTTACCGGCCTTAAAGCCTTTCCCTGGTACAGATATAAGGTTGCAACTTCAAAGTGCCGTCTTCCCTCCCTTTTCTCCAGTCAGGCTGGGAATGCGCGCACAGGGACACACACAGAGAGACACACCGCTTTTCTGTTGTTAAGACAAATGGATTCGTGAATCTGGAAGCTGGGCTGTGTCGCTTTTTCAGAGAAATCTGATGACTTGGCTTTGGCTAGCTAGCATTCCTCTGAACTGGCATGATCACGGGCTAGCAAGACCATCACCGGCACCAAAAGGATACCGGGGGATGACTTCGGATATGTGTAGCCTTAATGTAACGGTGTTTCTGTTTGGTACACACAGCACAACAACAAAAATCGCCAACATCCCTTCCTTGCCACTTTTAGCCTTTCCACCAACTGATTGGTGAGAATCTTCCTGAGGGAGGCGAAGGAAGGGCAGTAACAACAAATATCGGCACCGACACAGACACGCGAGGCAAAAAGTGTGGGCATTTCGGAGGGGAGCAACAAGGTGGGAGGAGAAGGGGTGAGTCCAAATCAAACAGCCTATAGACTCTTCTTTCGAGAAACCCCATCATCAGGTGCGGGCTGTTCAAACGCACAGGCGGGGAAAAAAAGGGGGGGGCAGGAAACTCCAAAGAGAGCGGCGCTTTTACGCACCCAACAGGGGAAAATCTGAATTAGAAGGGAAGCCTCCGGTGCTTCACCAAGAAAAAAGGCTCGGCAACCTGGGCCCCGGTCCTCTCCATCCTATTCCACTCCAGTCGATCTACCCACCTCCCTCGGCTACTTGGGGACGCAGTAAGGGTGACCTAGCGACGGCGAGGCGAGAGGTCGAGGGTCCGCCAAGCAAGCAAGTCACAACTTAAGCAGGACGGGCTCCTTGTTTCAGCACCCGGGTCCGTGGACAGCAACCAGCCGGCCGGCGTTTGGGTGGCCGGCTTCCCTGGCTCAGCGCGAAAAGGAGGAAACTGATACTGTCAGCATATTCTACAGTCCTTTTATGTAACATACAAGGAAAGGAGGGGGGAAAGCCCCCCTTCTCCCCAGGAGCTTTGCCATCAGACTGTGTCTAGCCACCCTACTGAAAATGGGGCGGGAGGGGGGGGAGAGTGTGAGAGCTCGAAAGAGCAAGAGAGACTCAATAGCGCCGACAGAGAGGCAGAGGGAGAGTTGCAGCCTGCTATTGATTCAGAGATTTACAGACAGGGTGATTCCCCTTTCTGCTAGAATTCCCCGTGTCTGGACTCCGTGCATGCACCAAATTCGTTAAGCAGACGCCAATGTACTTCTCGCCCCCTCCCTTTTCCTCCGCCCCCTCCCCTTCCACGTAAAAATAGAAAGAAGAGGAAAATAAACCCAGACATGCATCAAATACAGGCAAAAATTCACCGTCACTCTCTCTGCCGCATGCACAAGAAATATTACTACTTACCCAAACGGGAACTCCTTTGGTAGGGAGGGGAGGGAAGGAGAGCTGGGGCGGGTGTGTGTGTAGGGAATGGTGGGAAAGTGTTGTTGGTGGGGTAG